TACGAGACACTTATTTCATTAATTGCAAGGGTAATTTAGTCTAATCCTTCTAATTTCAAACATTATTACTACATTGAATTAATTTTTTTAAACTATGTGAATTTGTTAAAATTTACTTACATTTTGATACAGAGTAAGTTATATTTAACTATCTCACCAAAATCAAAATGAAATGTGATATTGTAGACATTGTTCAAAAAAAGTCAACAAAGAGGGATGTGAAGTACAACATGCCTTGGCACAACACGGCACATGGCTTGTGTCACGGAGCATGGCATAAAGAGAGTAGCTATGACACATGTGCATATGTGTAATGCATCACCTTGTTCTTCACCTCTCAATATATTTCAACTTATTTTGAATCTTTTCATTCTTGTGAAGCATCCTATACTTTCAAAATAAAATTTTACTTTGATTTAGGATTTGTTAAACGATGTTTAGGTAATTTAAATTATAAAAATTTGAGATCTTATTTCTACAAATAACATATTTGGTAATCTAGTTGGATTAGTACAATAAATGATTTCGAAGTTAAGGGTGTATTTATAAGGATAATCTTACTTGTTATAATTAGATATTTCACACGTACGTGCATTTGTGTGTGTGTGTGTCTCTGTACCTTAAAAAAATATTTTATATTTTTAAATGGAGAGAGTATTAAAAAGTAATCTACAAGTAAATATAGTATATATTTGAAACTTAGCACAAATCATGCATTAAACCCAAACAAGCAAGGCAAGGACAGGTGAGAATTTGCATTTGGTAAGTAATTAGTTAGTTGACCAGAAATTAATTAGTGAACTTAAACTTTCTTTTTTTTTTCCTTTTTTTTTGTTGCCAACAAGTTAAACTTTTATTGCTTAGGCATCTCGAAATCAACAATTACACACACACACACCGACACACGTGTGTTAAACCACCATGAACAGGTTTTGTTTGATTAAGTAAAGATTCTTTACCTATTGTTTTGTATATTAAAATCATGAAAGTACTCCTACCAAAAAAAATCATGAAAGTACTACGAATAATAGTTAAATATTTTCCATTAGATAAGGATAACTTGATGTGATTAAGATCAACATGTATACCTAGAATGTTTCTAATTAAAAAAAAAAATTACCAGCATTTCTAATTAAAAAACAAAAAGTAGCATTTACATTGTTTCCCATTTAGAACTACGTCCCCGGTACAAACCCACATGTATTTGTTTCGCTTTTTTGTTTAACAAAGAAAACAAAAGGTCACAAGCACACATTAACTTACCAAATAAATTAATGGGAATATAACATTAAAAATAATTGTGTACGCGTGTGTGGATGTGAATCGGCACGACAATTATGTGTTCTCAATTAATCAGTCACTATCTTGGTGAAGTAGACTTCCATTTATTGGACCCAAAGTGTTAATTTGTTTGAATCCAACAAGGAAAAAAAAATTGATGACATTTGCATGGTCTTGAAACTTTGCTAATTAAAAAAGCAAGGGTAGGAGCATCACCTAATTTAAAAACAAAAAAAAAATCCTAGATTTGTGAGATGCATTTTATATTTTGCATCAAAATCTAAGTGAACATGCATATATATATATATATATATAGTCAAAAATCAAATTTATTTCATTTTTATTTATATTTTAATATATTTTAGATAAATTGTTCTTCTAATGAAGTTAGGAAGTATTGTATTTATTCTAATTAAGTCTACTTCCATGAGCGGAAAAATAATATTAAAACAAAATGTGTGTGTGTGTGTGTGTAAAGAGTAGTGCACGGATAAGTTATCCAAAGGGTCAATAATAGAGAAAAGGACGCAAATGTGAGCATCATTATTAGTGGGATTTGGCTGATACTTTTTAATATTTTCAATATTTCTGACAAAAAGGTTAAATTCAGACCCAAGCCTAGCATTTAAAGTCTCCCCTTTTTTCTTCATTTCTCAAATTTTCACCGTTTATTATTATTTTATTAAATATTTTTTTAAATTATAAAATAAATGAAAAATAAAGATCAAAAAAATAAAAAAAAAAAGAAGAAAAAGAAAAGGAGAGACTCCTCTTCCAATGTTTGTTTGTTCTTAACCCCTTCCTTGTGCTTTGGTTTTCCCGACACCAAACGTGACATCAAGGCCAACGTAAATGATTTATGTGGGTTTCGTGAAAAATATGAATATGTCATTCACTCTCTGTCTCTTTCACCTTGTTTATTCAAACATCCACGGTCCGATTAATAGTAGTGCACACGTTTTGAGATCTTCTTGCGCAATTAATTGGCTCACACATCACGTATTCCGATATGAATTCATTCTAATTTCTTTTCTCTTTACTAGCAGTATTATGAATTAGTCTCCCTGTTATCCGTCCACATATTCTTTTAATTTTATATATAAATTATTTTAAATATATTTTATTAAAATTAAAAACAATCTTAAAATTTATTAACTTTATCTTAAAATTTAATAAATTCTTAATTTTACTCTTATTAAATAGACATACTTTAATAACATATTTTTTCTCTCTAACATCTAATAGACAGTAAAAAAAAATTTATTAGACAGTAAAAAAGAAAAATTTATGTTAAAAATTTAATAAAATAACTTATAAATAAAATAAAACAAAAAAAATTTTCTCTTTCCTATAAATAAGACAAGTGAAAGTATATACACACACACACTCCATTCTAAAATACATGCTTTTTTTAGCTAATCTTGGTCTAAAATAGGTTGCACAAAGGATTGAATGAGACTGAATTTTGATCAAATTAAAGTTTAGTCTTTTTCATGAAAAGGATTGGGTTAGACAACCTATATCCTGATCTAATCTAATGATAAATCAAAGATTAACAATACTTGACTTGATATATAGGACTAAAAGATTGATCCTATTAGTCTAATATTCATTTAACTTTTTTTATTTTTCTCTATAAGAAGTAATAATAAATTTCAACCTAATAAATTCAATTAAAATAACAAAAACACTTATAATCATAATAAATTCATAATAATTTTCAACAACAAGAAAAAAATATTTTAGTTATAATCCAAGTGGTCTAGATTATTAAATTATTAGTCTAAGCATGTGACTATGTCAGGAACCAGATTTATTAAATTATTAATATTCTTAACTTATTATTATAAATAATTAGTAAATTAATTATAATCATATTAAATAAATCTAATGGGACCAAACTGAATCAAGTGGTTCATATGTCCAGTCTCCTGTTCAGTCCAATTCGAAGAAATAGTCTAATTTTTTTAGTCTTAAAAGACTAGTTTTTAATCAGACCGGACAAGATCAGACCTTCTTGGATCAAATTGGATCGAACAAGATTGGAGGACTTCTACACAACTCTAGTCTAAAATGCAAGCAACTTAGTAGTTGAAAAAAAAATCTCATTGTACTTATTAGGAAAAACATAATCATTGGTCTCTATAATTTTATTGATTTTTCTTTTACTCTATGTAATTTGCTTTCAGTATTTTCAATTCTTACAATCACTATAATTTAACATTGTTAGGGCCATGAGAAACAAACAAAACCCAATCTAGCTAAAATTATGGGGACTAAAAACACTAAAAAAACTACAAGAACGAAAAGCAAAACCTAATGAAACTATAAGAACCAATAATTATGTTTTTCCTATTTATTAACATGTATTCTTGCGTGAATTTATGACATTTTTTTCACTCATTATTGGTAATTGGGAGTAAGAGTGAAAAGAAAAAAAAATATATACTTTTTCTATTAAAAATATAAGTCATTTTTAACCAGATCTCACTCTAATAAAATAATTAATTATTTTTAAATTAATAACATCTTTTCATATTTTACTCTTATTTAATAAAGTATTTCACTTTAAAGTAAATATAAAATTAATAATTTATCTATTATGAACAATTTGAAACAATAAAAATACTTTACATTTTTTAAAAGAGGGAGTATATTTTTTATGATAATAAAATTTTATTTATATGCAAAAATGCTGATTATATTTTGGATAGGAAGGAGTTTATATATATATATATATATATGGTTTACCCCCCTTAAATTCTAATTCTAATTATAGAAAAAAATTAAAACTTTATAAATAAAAAAAAATTTTAAAACTTTATTGTTTGATCCTAAATGGTAGAGACGTGGAAATTGCATTTCCCTCCAATCTTGTACTTTCTTCATTGCAACAAGCTTTTGGCATGTCTGTAATTTCTAGACAATACTTTATTGCGATGATTTATTTTTATAAAGGGTGAAATTAAAAAAATCATATACTTTTCGGCAAGTTTACAAATATTAATTATTGCAACCTTAAGAATCATGAAATTAGTTAATTTTAATTTCTTTCACTATTTAAAACCATATAATTGTTAGTTAATAATAGCTATATATTATTATTAATTTTTATCTAAAAACACACACACATATATGGCATTTTATGTTTCAAAATTAATTTTTATACTACTTTTCATATGTGTGTGTATATGTCAGTGATTTTTCCATTGATATTTTATCTTTTTTCAAAACATACTATATATACTTCCTCTGAGTTTATTTACAAATCACTCTCAACATATTTCACTAGAATTCAGAAAAATTTTAAACCTTATTAATTTTATCTTCAAAATTTAATAAATTCCCATCTATATCCCTCAATAAAGATGAAAAAACTATTTTAGTAATTTTTGCTAGCATTTAATAAGAGCATAAAAGTAAAGATAAGCATATTACAAGAAATAGTGAAGGGTCTTATAAATAAAATTAAAATTTACCTTCTTTCTACCGTATAAATAGAAACAGGGGAGCATCTCATAATATATTTGGGGAGAATTACATATAAATCTCATACAAAAAAAATTAATGACTACAAAATTTATTAACAATTGAACTAATGCCATTGTCAAGTTTAATTATTAATAAATCTTATAGTAATTAATTTTTTTGTGTAAAAGTTTAATGTAACTCCCATATATTTACAAATAAAGGAACAATCATTGTTGTATACTAAAAACGAGGTTAAATTAATATAACTTTGAACAATTATTGAAATCACTTGTTGACATTCTGATTGATCACGATCAGTTTGATAGATCCAATGTTTGTTTTGTTATATGAAGTGAAGAGGACTTGAAGGATTATAATTTAATTGCGTCCATGTGTGAATATTTGATGATATGATGAATCCCAAAATTAGTACCAGTAGCTTTTAAAAGCTTCGTGATGATCATCAGATTCACGAGGCCACGTAGTACCTGGCAAAAGCAGTAATATAAATGTTCAATTCATGTGTCTCGAAAACTCAAGTTGATTGAATTTTTAAATCTACAAATAAAAAATCATAGAACATCAAAACACAATAATGCTGATTTGATCAAACTGACATGTTAATTATTATACGTATGTGACGAAACAAAAAGTGGATTACTGACTTTGATGTTTGGATCATATGTTATTTCAAAGCATGATGACATCTCTAAGCACGCACCTTTGGGGTCGAGTCACTATCTCCACCATTAGAGCTTGACCTCTTCCAAATGACTTCCAATTTATTTATTTTCTGTCTCTGAATTAATTAACATGTACAATATATTAGTTCTAATACGAAAGAATACGAATTAGAAAATTCCTCATATTATTCTTGTTTATTAGATTCTTAATCATCATAATCTCAAGAATGCGTGCCAACTTGTTACTCCTTCTGTTAAAAAATGTAAAGCATTTTTAATCAAATCTTATCCCCCAATAAAATAGTTATCTACTTTTAAAATAACTCTATCTTTTTATATTTACCCTTATTAAATACCTTATAATGAATATGAAGTCACTATTAATAGGGATATTTTGAAAAAAAAAAAGACAATGATTACACCTCAATCGAAAAACTAAAAATGCCTTACATTTTTTAATATCAAACTCCTCAAAAAATACCTGACATTTTTTGCGGAGGGAGTATACTTCAGAAATAACTAAACCACAACATAATTACATGCAAGAATATACTTAATCATTTAAAAGACAAATATTTTAATCACCTGCTGTTTATAACAGCGCAAGTATCACATTATCTGGTCCTGTATAGTTGCTAGAAATTTTCTAGTGGACCTCAAATAATTAATAACAACATGTATAAGCTAGTGAAAATTCAAGTGTTGATAAATTATAAAGAGTCATAAATACAGTGCATTTAGCTGGGCTTCAGAGTTTAATGCAAGGCATCCAATATATGTCACATTTTGAAAAATAATCAATCATCAATATCAATATAAAAAAATACAGGAAATAAGTACCATTGTTCAGGAGCTATTGTGATGAATATTATAGTTTGTCTAATCAAGATTAATATTGTCAGGATATGTTAAATCAGAATGAACTTGATTTGAGGTGAGAAATTTCACATAGAACAGAATTAAACCTTATAAAAGAGATGTATATATATATATATATATATGAAAATCGAATAATAACTTGTAAACTTAAATATTGATATTTTTAGTTAAGATGGGATATGGATATATCCCACAAATATACATGTTTCCGTTATAATAATAATAATAATAAAAAAGTCTTGGGCTATACGTAAAGAGTGAGTTGGATGGTGTACGGAAACCAATAGGTGAAGTTGCTTGGGTACTTGCTAAAACAAGAGCATTTGACCACGAAAAGTCCAAATTGAAAAAAGCAAGCTTTTTAATTGATTACAATTTTTGCTTGTGGAGAAGATATTGTTTCAATGAAGACTAAAAGTGAATAAAATAAAAAGGAGGCGTTATTCAATAATAGAGAGAAAGGCAGTGTCTGAATTATTGAGCGTGTCAGGGTGTGTATGGAAACGCCGCTTAGTTTGACCCAAAACGAAGAGAACGGAAGGCACGCCATTGCAAATCGCATGCATGCCTTTCTTATTGGTTTATTTGGTCCCCTCTCACCAAACATCCCCTACCCGTATCTTTTCCTTCTTTCACTACTTCATTCTATTTTCCCTTCTCTGACTTTATATAAATTTTTAGTTTTATTATTTAATTTTATAAAATATCTTTTCAATCATATAATACTTTTATTAGTTTTATTAATAGAAAATGATATTGTAATTCCAAATATTAACATGTTAAGTTAATCAATTTTTAAATATAAAAATAATTAGATTAAACGATCATCATTTAAAAATTCTCTGTCAGTATTTAAAATTGCAGTTTCAACATATTTTATTAAAGAAACTATCGGTATTGGGATTAAAAAACTCAAAAGACATTTCATAAAATTAAAATACTAGATTAAATTCTTTTTTTTGGATATAAATTCAATTAAAATTTTGTATAAAGTTAAATTCTAAAAGTACACTTTCGCCTTTGATTAATGACACCAAAGCGAAGTGGATTGGACAATAATTTGCCACTTAAGTGGGCCAACTCAAATTTGGGTCCGATGAGGCCCATTTTATCGATGAAGCCACGTGGAGCAGCAGGAGACCACCTCCACCGCCATTTTTCAAAATGAACCCAACCCTCGAAGGTTACATATGAATACATACTTGAAGTCTCGGATAGAGTCATCTTTCATGAAAATTTTTGGTTCAAAATGTTCGTGAACATCCAAAATGTTAATCTCATCACAAACAAATATAAATACATTTCTACATGCCAATATTAGGGGAAAAAAACACCAAAATAAAGATCAGTTAGTAATAAAAATAGGAAATGCCGATCCTTTCATTTGTGTGTCGTCTAGGAATTCATAAAAATGTCAATAATGGCGATGACATTTTGGTTTAGTTTGATATATGATATATTGTAATTTATAAATTAGATCCATCCCCATTTCCCAATTAAGCATTAAGCCCTCTTTAATGGACCTTCTTGTTTGTTTAGTTTAAGCTTGGTTCCACGTTTCTAAAACCAAAAATCGAAAATGACAAATAGCCTAAGGCCCAAATAATGTCGACTCAAGCCCATTAATTTCAGTCCAGCACATGATTTGAAATTCTTGGGCTTTATTTTGGGCTAACTAAATTTTTGGGCCCTCACAGGAGAACTAGATATCTGTGTGGAATAAATAATAAATTAAAATTTTTGAGAGTATTTTATATTTTTGAATATTGAACTCTATGAAACATATGTACAAAAGTTTGAAGAAATACAAGCTTGACAAAATATAGGGAAAAGAATGAAAGAACAAAAGATTTGCATGAAGTGTATGAGTGTTATTCATGAATTATAAATAGAGTTAGTGTGTTTGGAATTAGGTTCTACGGTGTCAAATTTTCAAAACAAAAGGATGGCTTCTCAAAATGTCGTTTTGGCAAGCCCAACGTGATCCCGAACATGGTATCATTTGCATAAAGTCACATTTTGGGAAAATAGGTCATGTTTGATTTTAAGTTTAAAAACAAAAAAATAAAAAAAACTTTGTCTAGGTGAATGTTTCCACAACTGTTCCTTTTTTCAAAAAACAAAAATGAAAACATGTTGGGAAAAAATTGTCACAAAAGTCTTCCCCATCAAATTAATTGGTAAAAAGAGTTGGAAGAGATTTAGTATTGAGGTTTTTTTGCTGGCAATAATTGCTAAGGGCTAAATGACAAAAATGCATTATTGATTAAACAAAAAACAAAATTGAGTAAGATTCTTCACTGTCAATATTTCACACAAAGTCCTTTGCTGTCAATATATTATAAGGTGCTTTGCAGTCATTAATTTCTTGTTATCACTTAATACAAGATGTTTTAGTGTTAATATGTCAATTTGGAATACTAGAAATATGAGTCTTTAGTCATATGTATAAATTCTTCCATTATGTGCATTTAAATTTTAATTATATGCAAAAAAATTTCATTTATTCAAATGACAACTTTTGATATTTTAAAAATTATAAACTTAAAAGCATTTTAAAATACTAGAAATAGGGATCTTCAATCATATGCAATGATTCTTCCTTTATATATATTTGAATTTTAATTATATGTAAGAAAACTTCAATTTATTTGAATAACAATTTTTGATATTTTAAAAAATTTTAACTTAGAAGCCTTTTGGAATACTAGAAGTAGGAGTCTTAAATCATATGCAGTGATTCTTTCCCTATATGCATTTGAACTTGAATTATGGGTAAGAAAACTTCCATTTATTTGAATAACAGCATTTAATATTTTAAAAATTCTTACTTCTCTAGTCCTATTTATAAGGTAGAGAGAGAAAATATATTTGGTCCTATTTATAGGGCACCTCAATAATTATTATATCTACTTTTAATTTTTTGCCCCTATTCAATGGTAGAAAGATTATTAAACGTTAGAGTATTTTATTTTAAGAGTAGGTGTATTTAATAGGAGTAAAATTAAAAATTTGTTAAATTTTATGACAAAACTAATGAGGTTTAATGTTTTCTTCAGTTCTAGTAAAAATATTAGAAATGACTTATAAATAGGATTAGAGAGAGTAATGTAAAAGCATTTTGGAATACTAAAAGCAAGAGTTTTTAGTCATATGCAACGATTCTTTCCTTATATATGCATTTGAACTTGAATTATATGCAAGAAAACTTTTATTTATTCAAATAACAATTTTGAATATTTTAAAAATTTTTAACGTAGAAGCATTTTGAAATACTTGAAGCAAGAATTTTCAGTCATATACAACGATTCTTCCCTATATGCATTTAAACTTCAATTATATTCCAGATAATTTTCATTCATTTGAATAACAACTTTTAATATTATTGAAAATTATTAACTTAAAAACATTTTGAAGTGCCAGAAGTAGGAGTTTTAGTTGTATGAAGCGATTATTTCCTTATAAGCATTTGAACTTCAATTATATATAAGAAAATTTCTATTCATTTGAATAGCAATTTTGATATTTTAAAATTTTTTAACTTAAAGGCATTTTAGAATATTAGAAGGAGGGGTCTTCAGTCATATGTAGCGATTCTTCCCTTATATGCATTTAAATTTTAATTATATGTAAGAAAATTTTTATTTATTCAAATAACAACTTTTGATATTGTGAAAATTCTTTATTTAGAAGCATCCTGGAATATTAAAAGTAGGGGTATAGACTACAGTCTTCAATTATATGTAGTAATTCTTTCATTATATTTATTTAAATTTCAATTATATGTAATAAAATTTTTATTTATTGGAATAATATTTTTTGATATTTTGAAAATTTTTAGCTTAGATGGATACCACTTGTTGTGATTATAATATCACAAATGCATATTCTATTTTTTTTTATGAAAACATTAAAGGATATTTTGAAAACACAAATGATTATTTTGAATATTTACTTATTTTTTCATAAAAATACCTCTAGTTATTCAGAAAACACAATTGATATTCTGATTTTTTTTTTATTTTTTATGAAAATAATAAAAAATATTCTGAAAATGCAATGCCTTGGCTAAATTATGCTATATCATTGTCACAGCTCGAAAAAATTGATCCATGAAATCATTAGATAGAGTCAAGTCAAATCAATCAACAACATGGTGGTGCTTCAGAACAAAAGTTTCAATAGAATGATAATCTATTTACCTGGCTTAATTAACCATACGATCGAACGGGGTTTTTAGAGTCTCCACTCCGTTTTCTTCTCACAAGTTCCAGAATCTCAATAACCTGCAAACACAATGGACAGAGCACAAACCAAGGATATGGATATTTAATGAGAAATGGGTGTCAAAAATAAAAACTCTAAACCAGCAATCTCGTGTCAGTTAAATGACACAAAAAAATGTTGGAGATGTCAACTTTCCCAAATTGTCCTTTGTTTTCAATTCATCTCAATTTCGTAGTGCTCTTACTCATCGTCATCAACTTGGACTCTGAAGATGGATAATTAATGAGATATGGGTTTGCTCAAAATCAAAATCTAAAAATGCAGAGACTAGGTGCGATCAATCAACAAATTGCATAGCTATATCAAAATCCAAGGGCTAATCTCCATCAACTCAAAGCCAATTGATAACAGCCAAAGATAAGGCTAACATAAGCATATTCTAAAATGATCCAATCCTTTCAAAGATAAAATGAAACAAAATTCAACACTTAACTAGCTACAACCTATCCAATTCAAAACTTAAAAAAGAAAAGAACTAGATTAATTTAGTACCAACACCAAGATCAAGATGAAGAAATTTCATGAAAAATCAAGTTTCATCACATTTTTGAGAAAAAAATGCTAAATCATTCATTCAATAGCAATAGAAAAACTATTAATAGACCCCTACAAGATAAAGGATGATGCTTGGAGAGGAAAGACCGACCATGGTGAATATAGTGGGAAGTGACAATATGATACACAAATTTTAGGGTTTGGAATTCGAAGTTGATGGTGTACGATTGAGATAAGAGTTGAAGAGGAAGGGTGGGTGAGAGCCGCCAATCATCACCAACCTTACTATACTCTCGATTGTCTCCATCATCGGCAAAATCACAATGGGTGGAACGATATGCTATAAGAAATCTCACCGGACGGGAGCTAGAGAGGAGAGCGAGAGAGAGAATTCTGTGAGGGTGCTTTAGTCATTTACCTCTTCAAACATTTTAATCAAGAGCAATATGGTCATTTGAAGCTTCGAATTAATGCCAACGAAGAACCTTAAACTAGAATATCTCTTAAGTCATTGTAAGCAAATCAATTTGTGGTGGAGTCTTTTTGAGTAATTTTCCCACATGTTGTCTCCGCTTTTTTTAAAAAGCATAATACATTTAACTATTATAAACTATTTTTAGCTATGTCAACAGTTAGTTTTTTTAATAGCAACATTACCTCCCTTATTTGAAATTGAAAGAGGTCTTAAGTTCAATTTCAATGTTAACATAATTGCACGCACGTGTGTGCATATCTTCCTTTTCTATTAGGAAGGACTAGGTTAGGGTAAAATTTTTCAAATTAAAAAAAATCTTTAATTATGACTAACCACTATTGTAGGCTATTACTGTTAACCATGGACAACCACTATTATCAACCATTTTTTTTAACTCAAATTATTTTTGAATTAATATAATTAAACATATTTTCATTTTATTTTGTTTTAAAAAAGTTTAAAAAAATTAATTTACAAAATAGATTTGAAGAACAAAATCAGACAAGCCTTATAATTTTTTTCCCTAAATTTGTTTCAATTGTTTATTTAATCCCTTTTTAACTTAAAACAACTCAATTTTACGATTGCATGACTCGATCCAATTTAGTTCATATGAATATTGAACTATGGTACCTTTGTAGTTGTTTAAAGTTGAAGAACTCAGAAAAATTAAGTTCAAAGATTAAAACTTAAAAGTTATATTACATTTATATTTTATTTTGACAGGGATACTATTTACAATGAACAAGCAGAATAGAATAGTGGTAATACAAAACCATTGAATAACAGCAAAACCATTAGAACAGAATAGTAATAGGATTGGGAAGAAAATGAAAATATAGGACCCACCAAGATTTGGGGTTTGACGAAGGTAAAGGGAGAAGATGAGAAATTTCATGTTAGGTGGTTGTGGAGTAAAAAATATGAAAGTGAAAGGAATAATTACAAATTACAAACAGTAACATCATAACACAACAGAGCTGCAGGTTTCAGCGTCTCAGACATTTTCATCATTACTGTACATTCCCATAAATGCTCACCGTGTCAGGCCAGCCATGCCATTAATACCCTTCTTCAAACATTAGCTTCATGCATCTTATAATCACAATCTGACTCATGACTTCTAATGTATAATCTACTGGCCTACTGTTCAAACATGTTGGATTAACATGTGCCAATGAAGCAATATGAATAAATCTAAGTGAGAACACCATGCATGCAGGTGAGGTTGACCTAACGATGCTGAAGAAGAAGAAAAAGGGGCATTATTACTTGTTGCAGAGAGGCACAGTGCAGGCAACAATATGCTGTTGTCAAGGTCACATGCATGTGTCTTTCTTCTACGTTATTTCCCTTTCACACTTTCAGACTTCAGAGTAAGGCTGGCCGACCACCAAACACGCTGTTACTTGCCTTACACAAACACAACACATATTTCTTATCTCTCTCCGATTTCTCCTTGCAAGGACTTGATGCTCCAACTTGCCACACACAACAACCAAACCCAAACCACGCATGGTACGTATCATCTGATGACAATTAATGGTTGTTCTTCTAACTTAATGATACAGGGAACTGATCATCGCCTGAAAGGGTCTCTCGATTCACAACCTGGAATAATTATGAAGTACTGTAGTCTAGAAGGGCGCAAGCAAAACCCATATATTGGAATGGTCAAAGCTTGGGTGCATTGATCATCTCATTAGGTTCTGTATCAATGGTGGTCCTTTTCTCTCTGGGCTTTTGAAAGAAGCAATGATGAAAATGGGTAAAAGGGCGAGACAAAAAGGGCAAGTAGGAGAATGAAGAAGGATATGGGTTTCTGCAACGCTGAAAAGCATTAATGAATGGTTGAGAGAAAGTGACGGTTCAGCGCCATTTTCTACGTCACGCAGGTATGCCCTCAGCTCATCATCATCTTCTGTCTTGTCCCACAGACTTAACATTATTCACATTTCGCCAAATTCAGAAGAAGCCACATCAGGTCTAATTATGTCACAAAAAGCACAAAAGTCTTCCAATGAATAACTCGCTTGAAGAACCTTGGTCCCTTGTCCCAAATAATTTGACCTCTAGGTCCTTTTTACAGGCAGTTATTTCTCATTTGCGATCAACGCTTCTCTCTCATCAAAGTGAAAAGCCTGGTTTCAAACAAGTCATTATACAAGATAACTAGATGCTTTGGCTTGGTCTTGAGGAAGATCAAAACTTAATTTAGCTAGTAAACTCAAATGATGGTTGGATTTTGTATCATTAAGCTATTTTTACTTTTTTTTATTTTTGGGGCTAAGTCTCGATTCACAAACTTTACGTTTGTGTTTTTTTAAAATGTATTAAATCATGTTATAGTCACTTAATTACTTTTACCAAAACTAAATCAAAAATCAGTTTGGTAAAAAAAAATGTTTGGAAAGTAACCCATATCAACTTTTATTATTAAAAATTAATTAAACGTTGTTCAAAAACTGTTTAGAAAGTAACTCAGTTTTTGACAAATGAACAGAAAAGTTGCATCCGGAGAAGTAAAAATTGGAAAAATTACCCGTACAGCTTTTCGCTTCTGAAAGTTACCTAACAAAACATATCTTAAAGTTTGCGAACTGGTTTGTTGGGGAAAAAAATTTAACCATCCAAGCACACAATATATTTTATATATTATTTATAGAAATATAATATGTGTTATATTTTAACTTAAAATATCAAAAATTAAATTTATAAGAGAGAATTTTAGTTAAAACCATTATCCTCAGATAAGTCCAAATTTTTTTTTAAAATTTTAGTTCAATTCAAAAAAGAAAAGTCAAAAAAATTTTGATTGTGAAAAAGTTAAAATACTCTTCACTTGTTATATAAAATCGCCAATTATTAACAAATTACATAAATTAATATGTCAATAATTATATAAGATTTGACATTAATTTTTTAATTATAAGCAACAGCATCGGTTGTAAAATTACTAACTTTACTTGTTGATTTATTAATATTAGTTATAAATTACTAATAGGTCTTATAATTTATAACATTAATTATAAATTACTGACAGATCTTTTAATTTACAACTGATGTTAGTAAATTAATAAGTAAAATTAATAAATTAATAATTAATGTTACTGATTATCTGTCAAACGGATATGATTTACAAGTGATATTAGTAAATTAATACGTGTAATAAAAAATTAACAATTAATGATATTGCATAACAAGTAAATGATATTTTAATTTTTTCAGTGTTGAAATTCTTTTAACTTTTTTTTCTTGAACTGAATTAAAATTTTAAAATTTTTTTATTCACTTGAAATTAATTTCTACCATGGTCCTTAATTAAAATTCTCCCTATTTATAAATTTCTATATCTTATTATATGTAAGTTATTATACTCAATTTTATTTAATAACTTCTCATGTCAACTTAAGTCTCCTCATACTCAAATATCATATAATACATATACTCTTTGTTAAAAAATTTAAAACATTTTTAACCGAATCTTAATCTTCAATAAATTTACTATTTGTTAACTATTTAATTAAACTAACATTATCTTTTTATATTTACTTTTATTTAATAGAATATTTTATTTAAAAATAAATATAAAATAATTCATTTATTAATAACATTTTTTGGAATAAACACATTAATTATACCTCAAACACTAAATATAGTTGCATATTTTAATATTAACCTTTTATTTATTACATTTTCAAATAGAGAGAATATTTTATATTTTTTAATATTTAATTTTTAAAAAATATTAAATATTTTTTTAATAGAGAGGATGTGTACAGTGAGGAAGGGGGCGCTTGCGCCCCACAATTCCAATGCTCCTCCAATTTTTTTTTTATTTTAAAAATTTTCTTTGTAAAAAATGTGACAATTGTTTTTTCACCCCAAATATTTTTTATGGTTTTAGATTTTGCCTCCCATGTTGGCAAGTCTGGATTCGTCACTGGGTGTGTGTAAATTAAAAGATGTATTTACTAAATTAATTTCATGGGGGAATTAATACCCAATTCTTATTTATATATATAGCCGTGGAACTGTTCATAAATCAACGTGTATTGAATATGTAAAACCCCCGGCTTCCTTCTTCACAGGTCACCCTCATCGCTTCTTCTATTCTCTCCGCCTCTTATTCTCTGCAACTGCAAGTCATGCTCTTCTTCTTCTTCTTCTTCATGGCTCCTCAACGTCGCAAAAATGCCATTCCAAACCCAATGGGAATCTTGTGGTGAAGCCTTTGGCGATATCTCTCCTGAGCTTACTCTTCTTCTTTCTTTCTTTTATTTTGTTAAACTTCATACAAAATGTTGGAGTTTTCTTGACCTTGCAAGTCCAATAAATTCTTGGACTAAAGTCAAGTTATTAGCATATGTTTTCAGTGAAGCTCAACACTAAGATGTAAATATATTTTTGATTTGTTTGTTGAATGTCTTATTATAGATTTCTTTTGAGCTTCATGGTTCTTTTTCCCTTTCCATCTGTTTATCTCTTAAACAATGAATATATTTATTATTCCAGTCTCATGATTGTATGATTTTATTATGATTATTAGTACTATAATGTTTCTGTGCAGTTAGCAGAAATTCGAGGTGGCTATAAGTGTCATGCATGCTTATTATGCTTACGAAGATGGAGCAGTATTGTGAATCCTTTGATTCTTTTACTGTCTCTCATCTATTTTTAATTTTTATTTTTTATTATGAAAGAAAGAAAGAAAATACAGGATGATACAAAATTTTTTGAACTTTTATGGCACTAGTTTTGGTTCGGAGAATGAAAGTTAGGAAAAATTATCTGCCGTATAATTTTCTTCTTTCATTAAAAAAGACCAGAAACTTGCCATTGATTAAATAACTTTGACAATCTATATCAATATTAATATCATTGTCAATATATCAATATAAGCTAGACTCGTAAACATGAAATTATGAAGGCAATGCTAAGGAAAATATAGCTTTTGGTCATATCAATGTTACTAATTTATATCAATGATCCCAGCCAGCCAAAATAAAATGATAATTACAGGCAGACATCAGAAGAATCTAATGGATAGATCTCACCAACAAAGAAAATTATGGATATATCAACGGATACATTAGTTGCTGTTACGATTAATGAACGTAATCGATCGCAATTTATATGTACTGTTGATGTTAATCTTGTATGCAAATCCAAGGGCAGTAGATACCTCCGCTCCCTTTTTGTTGTTGTTGATGTTGAAGATGTTGTTTGATACTTATATTTTATAGTCACCAGACTGGCCAAATTCTATTAAACATGGTTGCACATGCTTAACCAACGATATATCAATGTCTAGGAGATTAGCTTAATGCCTTAATCTATATGGATTGTGTTAATTTATTTATTTTATCATGACGTCACATAACATGACATGAGCCAAGCAGAAGAATGTATCTTCTTTCAGGCATAAAATGACATTTTTAATTTTTTAAGATATAATTATTATTATTTTTTAAATATCCTTATTAAATAAATCATTTTATATTTATTTTGAGATAAAATACCTTATTAAATAAGAATAAATATGAAAAGATATGATTAGTTTGAAGACAAATAATTATTTTATTAGGGGAATAAAATTTAATTAAAAATACCTTTTATTTTTCAAAAGTAATAGTTATTTTAATCTACTATTTACCCCAAACATTCAAAGATTATATAATAGGTCAAGATATATAGTCTATCGAATTAATTTTATTTTTAAATGAGTAAATTACAACAACTTTCTAAGAAATTTGTTAAAATTATCTGGGTCATTTACAATTCACACAAGCTCTCTCTAACGTAAAACTTCAAAAGTTTTGCCAACCTTCTTTTTTGATATTTCACTAATAAGAGATAGCCTGTGTGTATATATATATATATTTGCCAAAAAAGATAGTCTGTATTAATTCAAACAAATAACAAAAAATGTTCAATCTAATCCTTTGACTATTATTAAGAAAGAGCTCAATGCAACTGCTCTGTTAGGATGTGACTCTTCAGTCTCGTATTTTATTTCCTCTGCATGCGGCACTCAAGTGAATGCAATCTAAAAGAAATAACACCAACACCAATGAATTCACACTGTCATAAATCAGAAAATCACAGACAGAGGACTTGTATTGAACTCAGATACTCAATTAGAGGCCAATGAATATTAGATAAAATGTATATTTTGATCCAATAGCTTGTGATTCTTTTGTCAAAACTATTGTATATAAATTGCTTTCAATATACATTAATCATGATTTCTACCACCTACCATATTCACTTAAATGCTATCTACAAACAGCATGTGGGACAAAACAAAGCAGAGAAAAAGATAATACCAAGTGGGCTTTTTCTTGGATATTTTCTTGTTGCATGTTCAAGCTGCAAGAACCAGAACTTTAATGGTCCCCTGACTATTTGCAGTTAGTATGGTGGGACTATCGCTCTTCCAGCATACGGCGCTGATGAAGTAAGACCCTGCCTCATCTTCGGCATCATCAATATCAAGTGAACCGAATCTATGCCAAGTCACAGGCTTGGAAATTTCCTGCAAAGACATCGAGCTTCAGATTTGTTAAAGGAAAATCAATGAAAAATTATCCACATAATCGGATTTAACAAACCTTGTGGTATACAAACACTTCATTCGTTTCGCTGCCACAAGCTATGTAGTCGCTGTTGACTGTGAGACCAACAAAGTTTTTCTCGTTTGTGTGGCCTCTGAAAGTACGAACCTGCACACACAATTTGAACTCTACAATTATTATGGCGATTCATATTTTTTAAAAATACTATGAAATTAAAGAATTTTATTGAAATGGATAAGTTAGCCTCACAGGCATGAAACTTTTAGCATGCGGACAGGCTATAGACACAGTAGCAAAGAAAGCATAACAGAGAAAAATTAAAGGTGCCCGCAACAATAACAACAAGTTTTATCTCATTAAGTAGATTTGGCTACATAGAGTGTACATCACCAATGTGCTCTATCAACAACTCAATCTCGGAAATATTGCTAACCACAAGATCTCTCTCAATAATTATTAATGCAAAATGGGAACTATTTTATTACTCACCGGTATATTCTCCTTTACATCCCATAATCGCAGTGTACTATCCGTTGATGCAGATGCAAGTTCATTATTAGACAAAAATTTCACATATGAAACGGCCTTTCTGTGGCCATTGAAGACATGGAGTGGACGGCTGATATTTCTCAGATCATAATAATGGATGTGATGATCTGCTGAACCAACCTGTAAAACATGTTAAAAGTGTTTAGCCTCAGAAGGATCAGCTTGAGTTGAAAACTGTTGACTACAACAAACAACAACAAACCTTCTCCCATTAGCTTGAGTTGAAAACTTTTGACTACGACCAAAAAAGGAGGGGCGGCGGGAAGAGGCATATGTAATTTTCAATAAGATCATTGCATACAATTACAGATACTTCAACTAATGCAATTTCAAGAATTTATCTTACATCCAATAGATGCATGCTCTATAGACATGGAGCTAAAGAAACTTTGTAAGACAGAAAAAAAAAAAACACTGATTACATGATGAAAGGAACACATGTTTCATGGGAAAAAAGACAACATAATTGCTTAGAAAATTGGGTGACCATCATGGGAAAAGGAAGGGAACAAAAATATAATATTGAAAGACTCAATGACAGCATGTATATAAGTCTAATTCTTCAACCTCCATGTATACCAATACTATGACCACACAAAGATACTTATTCTTTTTACTTGGAGTGAACTACGAGTTACTTTTTCTCAACCCCCAGGACTTTTCCAATCTTTAACACCTCTTGACTATAGTTATTGCCATGAAATACCATGTGAAACCGCATGTTGACTGTCGAATGAAGAAATTACAAGATGCTTCAAGTTTGAGATCAATTCAAGATGCATTAACAACAGAAACAGTCTTCTAGGGCAGCAAAAAGTACATACTGCAATGTAATTTCCAGATCCTGGATTATACTTGACGCAACATATGTTTGCTTTCATGTCTATGTTGATGGCACTAGTCTCCTGATTCGTACGCCAAACTTTAACCTGCTCATTGGAAACGCATACATTATAGTTGGCTTATCCAACCTTGAATGTACAATTCAAAATGAAAGATGATTTAATGAAATCAAAAATTTGATCATTTCAAAAATCTATTATTTCTGGATACAGGAAATATATTATATCTGTATTATGAAAGTAAAAGAATACACATCATCATGCTATTCCTCAAAATAACCCAAACCTTAAGAAATAAGTAACCATGACACGATCACAATAGCTTAGCTAGGATTAACACCTCACTCCACCTCCAGGCTCCAGTTTACAAATAGCACTTGCACTGGACCTCCATACTATCAAACAACTGAAGTCATTCAAGGCTTTTTTTTTTTTTGGGCCCCCCCCCCCCCAATTTCCATCAACAGAAGAGACAACATTGGGCAAGGACAGAAAGGTAGTAAACATCTTGTGAGGGTTTCTTGTCAAGTGCCCCAACAATCCAGGTCATAAGCATTTAATAAAACAATAGTGACAAAAATACACAAGCTGCTAAGAAGGCGCATAAATGGAAAACAAATTCAGAATTTGACAAAGAGTAATGCATAGAGAATAGTTAACTCATACATACATTTTATATAGTTATGGAAACATTTGACCACTAATAGCCCAGAAAGATGATTGTGTATGATTTTCCCTGTCTTGTATCAACTAAATTAGAATGTCACATAAAATTACACAAACATGCCAGGGCGATGTTCATAAGCTTAAGTTGAGTGTTCTGGGTCACCTTACAGTCATCACTGCCAGAGACAAGCATAAAGGGATCTGTTCTTGAAAAATCAACACTCCATGCGCGCTTTTCATGCTCTTCATATTCCATTAAACTCTGCCAAAAGAAAAAAAAAAAAAATACATGAGTGACAAAAATAAAACATTATGCCCATCCTTTCACAATTAAAATTGCATTCGTCATATCAAACTGATTATAATGATTTCATAAGTTACCTGTCGAGTATTTACATCCCAAACAGTAACAATTCCTTCATAATCACTACTAGCTATGTGGTTCTTTGCATATTTGTTCCAACTCAAGCAACTAAGTTTTGAGCGTGTAGGCATCTCCACAACAGGACAGTGTGCACCTGAAGGTTCATTAACAACCTGGAAAGCAATAGCGTTCAAAATCATTATCCTTGCATTCATGTAATTTGCTGACGTGACAACAAGACCATAGAAAAGAAGCTATAACCATTACTTTTAATAACTAATTCCCCAATAGTCTTATGAATAGTTGAGGCAAACAAACACATCATGCTCCATGATGTCTGTATTGCTAGATATATTTAAATGGGCATCCAATAATCACTTAAACCCAGATTTTTTACGTTGGATATAAAGGTAACTATGTTATGATGGAAACAAATTTAACAACGTCGAGGATCAGGAAATTTCAAGGAAATGGCTATCAAAAGAGTTAAATAACTCATGTCCAATTCACCGTCACCATGTATAGTGATACAGTTCTACCATGTGATCAATGGTTATACCCAAACTCACCAAAGGATAAACATAAATCTGAATAACAGAAAGTCAAAACTAATAACAAATTAAGAGGATGCTGATCTTACATTAGAGAAGTCAAAAACTTTTATGCGTCGGGAAACTCCAGCAGTAGCAAACAACTCATCATCACGGTCAAACTCAATGCTGTAATAAGCATGGCAAATTCAATAACTAGGTAAGTGTGGTACTCAATTTTTCCACATTTTTGAAACACATAAATTCATCTTACCAGGTAAGTATGGTACTCAATTTCATTTCATGGGTGTAGTTTAATTCATCTTACTCATTACATTAGGATAATAATGGGAACATGGAAAGTACATTGACGACAAATAAAAAGTATTGTCTTGTCATAACAACTAATATTCTCATTTCTGCATTGACTTCTGCGCAAAGAATTTGGGTACCAGCAAGGCCATGTAACACTGCCAACAATGGCATCACATATAATATGCAGATATTTTTTTCCTTTTGCACAAGGCTGGGTGGCACACAAGACTTAAATAGTTCCCTTCCCCACAAAAAGTTAAAACCAATAATAATAAAAATAACAACCAGGTATGCCAACCTAGCTTGGCAGTGAGCTAGTGACAATACAAAGCATTGAGTTTTGAGTTAGCCCTCACTACAATTCCACATCCGCATCCTGTTGCATCAAATCTTAAACAAGATTCAAAGAACAAACGAAAACTTTATCAAGATAATCAGCATCAAAATGGTCATATCTCTGATAATGCATATCATATCGAGGACAAGTTATACTTCAAATAAGAAAGCAGCCATCATTGACCCATGACATGACTTTGAAGGTAACCCAACCACAACCCATTAAATGACAATAGCTTGGCCCAAAAAAATTAATTCTAACATAACAATGACAAAGAGACAGTACAGCAGAGATATACCCCAAATAGTCAATTTCATGGAAGCAACTTACCTTGACACTATGTTGGCTGAATGAAATAGATCCTCATGCCTAACTTCCGCAATGACCCTCAGTCGACTATATCAAATGAAAAATAAAGGAATTCAGTTTTTTTTTTTTTTTTTATGCTCAGGAATATAGTAATTGACATCACCTAATCAATGACTACAAATAAAAGCAAAGACAGACGAGAATACCTGTATTGTGTGAAAGTTGTCAAGACTGATTGAAACTCCGAAAGACCAGGAGCATAACCCTCTCGGTTTATGACATATTTATCTTCTTCTTGTTGGCTATGAGGCTTCTCTGCTGAATGACGTCGTTTTTGTAGGTAACATTCTTGTAGATCATTGAACTGTTCCAATAAGTAAACAAAAACAAATCCAATAACAAGAAGCTGCAAGACACAAAGATTCCAAATCCAGAGATACCTAATAAGTTACCTAACAAGTTTTTTACCAGCATTAAATTTGAAAAATCAGTTCATACAGAGGTAGTAACTAGGAATTAACTATTGGTGCGAACAGAAAATAGTGAAACATAAGAAATCAAAATATCTGGATAGATAACAGAAAATAAGATCTTCATTACCTGTGCATGCACCCTCTTTTTTTTAATTAAAGCAATACTGGATTGATTTAAATATTGGGAATCTGATCCGCTAATAGCTTCTTTTCTCTGGATTCCATGTGAGCTTACTTGGCCCTTCCCATCAAGTTTCATTGGAAGACTCCCAGAAGACAATGCTCCTCGCACATTTAGAGGGCTAGACATATGGCCACTGCTGTTTTTATCCACCGATGAATGCCATGACTTCCTTGATCCAGACTCATCAAGCATCCTCAATTTCACAGAGTACCTGTCTCTTGCACGATACAAATCCATTCTATGTTTATCCACAGCACTTATGTCCTCTTTTATGAACTGGAGATCAGTTTGCACCTAAAATCAAACACCATTTTATTGCAATAATTAGCGATAAACAAAACTGATTATATCTAGATTGGAATAACATGGATTCAGTAATGCACACTCAAAGAAAAGAAATATAAGCCAGAAATACTCTAGTCAGAAATATGGTCATAAAAGTTGCTGGCATCAAACCTCCTTCAGCTCTTCAACTTTTTGCTTCCTTAAGCAATGCAAAAAGTCTAGCAATATCTGCATGTTTCTCTCAGCCTCTTCTTGTTCCATTTTTCTTTTCTTCTCAGCAAGGAGGAACAAAAGGGTGTCTACCTCCTTAATTGTCACATCACAACCCTGTTCCAGGATTTAGAGATGAATAAATTGTCAAAAAAGGTCCCATAGACTCTAAACAAAATAAATAGTCTACCACTCTGCATCCTTAGAAGTCCACTTTTTGTTTGTCTTATTAGAGATTATAATCTACCAAGTAAATGTGCCAATTGCTTGTTTAATAGAAAGAGTGGAATAAAGTAAAAAAATTGAATGGAAAAAGTAACTGATAATGGAAAATGACTTTGTGATCCTACTTTAAAAAGTAACAAAAAAGATAAAAACTAATAGGTATTGATCACAAGGGCATAATACGCATTGCAAAAATTAGAATACATGAAATCTCTTACCTTCATTATCCAAATTTGCTTTCATCTACATCCACCTCATAATCATGACATACCAGTTACCATTGTGTTCTATTAATGACCAACCTTTTGAAAATACCATTGACCAAAAGGTCTCGTTCAATGACGTACTAATTACCAAAGGAAAAAAGCCTTGACACTTAAATTTATATACTTAAGTTACTATTTTCCAATCAAATTGGGATGAATGGATTTTTCTTTACACATTACATACCTTGTCATTAACACTTTCAACTTATTTTAAAATTTAAAACTCACTTGTTCTAATTTAATTAGAAAAAAAGGTACCACAAGTGTATAAGCTTGAATACCTAAATTTCTCATTATCAACAAGGTGGCATGTATCCACAGTGGCACAAATAATTTAAAAATCTTTCTTAAGAGCACAAGTAGTAAAAGTGAATTATTAATCAGATCAAAAGTCACGAATAAAAATAACCAATACGTATATTTATAGGTCACATCACGATATAACTTCTCTCAAATAAATTTCTAACAACAAAAGTGAAGTAAAACTAAAACCAACCTTTTGCAATGACAACCGAAAATGTTCCACAGGGGAGGCTGTTTTTGATATTTGACAAGCGGAGGTCTTCTTTAGTAGCTACAAATGTGGTACAGAAACCGTATAACAATAAGCTGCATTTCGAAGTGGACTATTTCAAGATACTAATTACGTACAAATTAGATAGCCAAACTTTCACGCTTCCGATTCCACACATAATGATGGTGTTAAACTGGGGAACATTACAAGCAGTGAATTAGAATGAAAAGACGGCTCAAGATAAGAATGAATATAAACCCAAGAAACCCCCTCCCTTTTCCTCGACTCACTTCATAACCAGTCAGTCCCAAATCACTAAGCCCAAAGACAATTAGGCACAGTCCAACACGAACTGTATAAGAATATTAGCTACTTATTCTCTTAAGTGCAATCATAGAAACGTTTATCTACCAAGGAATACAACTCCAGCTAGAAGGATTTTAGGATCCAATTCAGGTAAGCGTGTTCAGTTTGGTCAAATATACAGGCATCAGAAATTAAAGCCCTAGGTGAATCATTGGGAGCTGGGGCAGACCTTATCAAGCAAGAAATTAGGGAACAACTGGTTGCTAGTGAGGTAGTGACCGCAGCAAGGGCAATCACTCTTGTTGCGGAGGTGAGTAATGATGCACATATAGCAGAAGCTGTGGCCGCAAGAAGTGAGGAAAGCGTCCTTGATGATTTGCATGCAAATCGGGCACAAGAAATCCTTGTCGGGCTCAGACATGAAACGCTCGGCGGCGGGAGTATCGCAGGCGGCGGGGAGCTTGGGGAGGTCGGATTTGACGGCGGGGACGAGAGGCCCCGCGGAGAGCTGGTCCATGGGAGGGGGATGATTATCTTTGGAGGAGTGGTGGTGGTGGACTGGGGAGTGGGAAGAGGGAAAGAAGCGTTTGGACTGAGAGAGAGATCACAGGCAGAAGAATTGGGGGGAGAGATTTGAGGGAGAGAGTGGGGCCAACGACCGCGGGAGCGTCATTCTGAGGGCGGGAGCGGTCCACGTGATAACTTCTCTTCCAGCTTCCTAACTGAAGCCACGTCATCCATCACCGTTTTAAAAATAAAATCATTTTATTATTCAAAATAAATATTTTTATTTATAAAATTCTTATTTTTACTTTTATTTATTAATAAATGACGGGCTATAGTCTTTTTTTTTTTCCTTTTGATTATGTGCATGTTTCTTTCTAAAATAAAATTTTGTTTTCTTCACATGCAGAATTTAATTTGATCCTGACTTGTATGAAACCGTGTATTTTTGTTGATATTTATGATTCTTACTAAAAATTCAAAAATAAAAAAATATAACATAAACTTAATATTATTTATTTAGACATCATATAGTCCTTTACAATGTATATGCAAGACACCTTCTAAAAATTTTACATAATTCAAAATATAAAGTATTAAATAATTTTTATATTTTTTTTAATTACATCTTTATTTCGCTAGTAAAAAAAATACATCCTTATTTTATTTATTATTTTTTTAAAAAAAATTATACATTAAAATCTTAATTACTGTTATCAAAGCTCTTACATAAATATTTAATAAAAGTACAAATGAAAAGATATAAATATTTTAAAAAAATTTAAGATTTAAACTAAAATTATTTATAAATCATGAATTAATTAACTATAACTTAAGTCATGATTTAGAGAGAGTATATACTTTAAGATAATTAATTGAAGGCAAAAAATGCCAAATATTCTTTAATAAATGAAAGATGATTAAAATTTTAAGATAATTAAAAGTTCAATAATATCAATATATGATGGTAAAGTAGAAGTATTATACTTTCTTAAATTATTAGGCTAGAACTGTTTCGTAATACCCTGCAATGTAATGCATGGGTTTTCTCAGTTTAACAGAAGAAAGTCGATATTATCTTTTGGGTAAATAGATATATAAATATAAAAAAAGTTAAAGAGAACACCCACTGCTATGGTTTGACACTTTAACAGGGGAATTCAATTCAATTTGATTTTTTTTTTTGGTAGCAGTTTTGTTTTCTTTTTTTTGGTAAGAATTTTAATTTTAATTTTTCTTAGAATAATGGAGTGAAAATATGTATTGGGCCAATCGGACTTTTGGCGATTTGTCCTGCCTTTTTTTGGGCCAATGGTTTGTACTATTGTCAGTGGTTATTCTCTTCATTAAAAAATATATAATATTTTTAATTAAAATTTATTTTTAATAAAATAATTATTTATTTTTAAAATAATCATATCTTTTTAAATTTATTTCTATTTAATAGGGTTCTTTACATAAAATAAATATAAAATAATTTATTTAATAAGGATACTTTTTTTAAAAAATAATGATTATATTTTAAAATATTAAAAATATTTTATATTTTTAAATATCACAGAGGGAGTATGTTTTTTATGTTGGTTAATGAATTAGTAAATGTCATGTTTATTGCTTATTGAATAAATCACAAGCATTATTGTTAATATTTTTGTTTATTTTGATTGGGCTATAATTACATCATATAGATTTCATAAAGTTTATGTTATTAAAGGTATTACATATAAGGAAATGTTCCTGTGCTACACAATAGGAAGTGAACGTTAGTTGAATTCAGGAGTAAGTGTTGAATCAAAGGTTTTTTCCGGAAAAAAGTTAAATCATAAGGTTGAGATCTGCTTGGTATCGTAAGATCTTTTCAAGCTCATAAAAAATGATATATCCCAGTATATTATTTATTACGTTTTTCTTACTACTCCCTCTATTACTCAATATAATTATAAATTTCTTTTAACTAACTTATACATATCATTAAAATAAGTGATGTCTGAAAAACATTTTTCTCCTTCAAAATACACCTTGATAAATATGTTTAACCCTTATAATGTAATAATCCACCATAAAGTATCATTATCAATGATATTTTTGGAAATAAATTATAATCCTATAAATTAAAAAAAAACTTATTTTATGAAGCAAAAAATCTTCTAAGAATATGACAATGACTATCTCTTTTAATTATTTTATTGAAAAAAGTAATCATTTGATTCCTATATTTTTGACTTAATTGTAATTCAATCATTAAATTTTCATTCATTGTAACTCAATCGTTATATTTTTAATTTAGTTATAATTTAATTCTTGAACTTTAACTTGCTACAACCAAATCTCTATAGTTTTAATTATTTAAAATATTAGTCATTATATTTTGAAAATGAAATTCTAAAAATTAAAATTATGTTGACATTTATCAATTAATTTTAAATTGCTAAAACTTTTAATTTGATAAATATTATAAAGATTTAATATTTGTAATTTTATTTTCTAAAATATAAGAACTAATATTTTAAATGGTTAAAAATAAAGAGATTAAATTGCACCAAGTCATAGTTTAAGGATCAAATTTTATTCAAATCAAAACTTTAAAAATTGATTTACAACAAGTGAAAGTTTTGGAATTAGGTTATAACAACTGAGTTACAATTAAGTTAAAACTATAAAAATCAAATAATTAATTTTACCTACTTTATTTTATATAAAGGCATAAGTATCCTTTTTAAAATTATATTTTCCCTTCTACCACTAAAATTAAATTATGCATGCTGGAGATGATGATGTAAATTACTCGGCTCAAGATAATTCACAAGGTGGGAAGCATACAGAAGACGCTGGACAGATTGGTAACAGATGAAAGTTAAAAAAGATGATATCATGTTATTTTCCAGGTCCAGTCCAACTCAATCTGTGCAGTGTTAAGTTGAAAGTTGTCCAAGCTTCTTCTATTCATCATACATATATACAAGTAGTTAGCCCAGAATATGTACAGGAATATGAATGAACCACCTTCTCAAGCTTAACATGGCTCACACAGAAGGACTGGATCTGAGAACCTTCTCAAGCTTCTCTGCTTTAGTGTAATCCTTCTCAGTGAGAGATCCAGAAGGGAAAGGAGTGATTTCCACAATCAGGTGTGGAGTTGGAAGTTCATCAAAAAGAGCTCTCACATTGTTACAACACACACTCTCTCCATGAGCACTTTCCCTCCTAATTTGACAACCCTGCATTGGCCTCCCAAGATGTTAAGTCAAGCATATGTTTAAGTTCAATTAATAAGGAAAACATGCAAATGCTTCTCTGATTTTGACCTGTTTCCAAACATCTCCCTCATTTTTTAAAACAGAAAATTTAAACCTTGTATCCATTGCGCCTCAATAGAGATGTGGCTTCAAATGACAGATCCTGAAGTGGCATCTCCAGTAATGGAATAAACGGAAGAGTGGACAGAAAAGTTTTGAATCATTAAGAGTCATGGTTGAGGAAATATTTGCTATTTTTTAAAATTGAGGGAGGTTTTTGCTGAGTCAGAGAAAAATAGGAGGGGAAATATAATACCTTGTGAGAGGTGGCATCAGTGAAGTGATCATCATCAGACAATAGAGAAGCAACAGCTTTAAGAAGACGCCGTCCCTCGGACTTGGATGGGACTCTATAGTTTCTTCGAAGTGTGCCCTTTGTTGTAGCATGCCATTTGCTTACCAGCTTCCTTCCAGTAGCTTCTTGCTTTGCTGCTCAAAGGGAGAGACGAAATATAACAACATCGTGAAAAAAAAGGGGGGGGGGGGTTTTAATTCAGACAAAATGCAAACTAAAAACAAGTCCAGTATAATCAGTTTTAAATAAAAAAGACTTGACCATGAAAAGAGATTTGTTATGCACGTACAACACAACAGTTACCCAGATAGAGCCACAAGTATATTGAATGTGTTACGAAAGGGAAGCCAGTCAAGGATCCATGAATACCAAGCATTAATTATCTACTATTTATTTTCCAGAGTCATTGTGCAGCCAGGTAGTAAAAATATGGAGAAAATTTCAAGGAGACTTTTCAGTGTTTTACATTATACTCTAGTTATAAGCAACCCCCAGCATGAAGCACCATGACAGTTTACAATGTTCCTAATGCCACCCAAAAGTCAAAAAGACCTTGTGTAAATGGCAACAAATTGACATCTCAGGCCCTCTCAGAACTCCAGAATGGTCCACATATATTTTGTCGATTTCTAAAATCACTACAAGGTGAGGCATTCGCCCAAAACAACATCATTTCAGAAGACTGCAAACCCCAAGCAACATCAATCCCAACGGCAAGTCAACATGCTTGTGAGTTCCTCCATTATTGGCATTTACACGCTATTAGCAAAACAGTACAAGACAGATGATCACTATCCATTATGAGAGATCACCATGCAGGCTAACAACATGACATCAGAGGATAGATTATTTTAGTTAGAACAGTAAAGATGTTACAAGTACAAAAGTAAAAGACAGATAAAAGATCAACATGCATTATGTGCATATCATAATTCATTATTATTATTATTCGGATTACAAAAATATGTGCCTGAAAAATGAATTGGCCACCAGGACTTAGTGTCTGGCGCATAAGCCACTTTTCCATTGACCTCAGACCTGGACCTCAAGGAGCCAGGTAAATTTTCTGGCATTCCAGGAAGCTACACTGCGAGTATCAAGCGTGGACAAAGCTGCTGGGCAGAGAACAAATATTTTGGATATGAATTACATCCTAACTTACCTTTACTTATGTTATTTATATGGATCAGTGGGTTGTTGCAATCAAATAGCTATCCTAACCAACTAACTACAGTAACTGATAGTAACAGTTAACAGCTAACTGATAATCCTCAGTAACATTAACAGAGAATCCTTGGTAGGAAATGCATTGAATGAGTATTAATATACATGAAACATTACATTAATAGGTCAAAAGTACATGACCAAAGATTTCAAAAAAAAAAAAAACACCTCCAAAGCAAATCATAAGATCAGAAAAGAAGGACGCTTAGCACACCTGGTTTACCCAGTATACTCTGAGTCCATTTAGAGAACCCCAAATCACCAGATTCATCGCTGTCATCAATTTCCAAATCTGCAGGAGATAATCAACTTACAAATAAGGACACATTAAAATTTCTCTCCCAATAAAATCCAAATCCAAATGTGCAAATTCAAAACTTGAAAACAAAATCAGACAACACAGAGCAAGGTATAAACATAAACCTGAAACAAGCGGGTTTTCTCGAGATCCAGCCAATCCAGCCTTGAGGAGGGCATAAAAGATGCAAAGCCTACCTGCCCATAAAACTGGAGTCTCAAGCAAAGAAGCATGGGCAGTACCAGTTTTAGGTGTTCTTCGATGCAGTGTTGGTTTAGTGGAAAAGATCCATCGTTTCAGGGCCTTTGATTCTGGTTGAAAAGTAGGGAAGAGGGATTTAGGCAAGATAGAAGGACTCAGATGATGAAAGGTGGAATGTAGAGGAGAAGTAGAGGTTATTTGCAAAAGCGAGAGAGGCATTTCTGAGCCTTTTACAGTTTCCACTGACAATGGCGACGACCCGCCGTTGAAAGAGACGATTATGTCTATCTCTGCACCATACTGGTGCCGGGAAATGACGATATTTTCATGTTCCACCCTCTAGAAACGACACCGTCTTGATCCATCGTGGCTTACGGATTGGGATGGATGGTCAGGTGGGGCATAGCATTGCATTTGAGTTTTGTCTTGTGGTAAGAAAAAAGGAAAATAACATTAAGGACCTTGAAAAAAAAAATTATTATAAAAAAATAAATTTGATATTGCTCTGCAGGCCTTGAGATTTTTATTGTCAACTTTCTTAAAACCAAAAGTATGATTTTGCTTTTTATTTGATTTGAATTCAGAACCTGCATGAACCCTCGAAACAACGAAATAGACTATGCACGGCACAACATCCACCATGCACAAGTAAGCAAACAATACACAATACAATATCCATTATGCACAACATAAGATTTATATATTCTTAACTAAAAGTCCATACGATTCTATTTTATCAGTGGGTTAGACTTAACAAAATTAACAAATAGGCAAACAATGTATAGTATAATATCTACTATACACAATACAATATTCATATATTCTCAACTAAAAGTCCATACAATTTTAATTTATCAAAAAATAGGTTGGGCTTAATAAAATGCACAAGTAGGCAAACAATCTATAACACAATATCTACTATGCACAACATAAGATTCATATATTCTCAACTAAAAGTCCATATGATTCTAGTTTATCAATAGGCTAGAATTAACAAAATGCTCAAGTTAGGCAAATAATGTACAACATAAAATTCACTATGCGCAACACAAGGTTCATATACTTTCAATTAAAAGTCCATGCGATTTCAGGTTATCAGTAGGTTAGGCTTAACAAAATACTCAATTTAGGCAAATAATGTACAACACAATATCTACTATGCATAATACAAGGTTTATATATTCTCAACTGAAAGTCCATGCGATTTTAATTTATCATTAGGCCAGGCTTGACAAAAAGCTCAACTTAAACAAACAATGTACAACACAATATCCACTATGTACAACACAAGATTCATATATTCTCAATTGAAAGTCATATTATTTTGAACTATCACAGGTTTTGGGTTTTAGATTTAAAACAAGAAGCACATTAGAGCTTTGTGACTAAGTGCTAAATAGTCCTATTTTTTCAAAACAAATGCACAAAACCTACAACAATATTATGTTTAGCTAAATTGTCGTAGCAAGCATGAAAAAAATGATATGGACAATAAACAAGGCTTGTAAGATTTTTAAACAAGAGCATCCAAAATATCTTTCTTTAGCCAAAACTACCTTCAAATTAAAGCTTGCGGAGCTATATGGTTTCACGTTCATTGTGCATAAATAAAACACATTTGGATATACTGTTTCACTAAAACTAAAGAATACAATCTCATCAATAAAGCATGCCAAATTTCAAAAACTAGAATGATGTAAACTACTACAGGCTGATACAAAGCAAAGATTTATTGTCTATTAGCACAAAGCATAAGTTGAAAGAGGGAAAACTGAGTGTTAGCATTCTTTTTCGGTGATATGTGAAGTAAGGGAAAATGAGGGAGAAAACCGATAAGAATGCACCATAGGGGAGGAACAAGGAAAAAGAATGAATGGAGAGAAAGATCTCGACTAGCACAGTCCTCCTCCAACGATAGTAAGGGGTTAGGTTCCAGGGGTCATAGTGATCAACAACAATCAATAGTGACTTGATGCAAGGAAAGAGATGAAAAATCATGATCTGTGGTTGAAGTATTAACAGCCAAGACTTCTACACTCGTCCACATCGACGATGGTCAATAATGGCAGAGCGACAACTGAAGAAATGAGAAAGAAGAGATAAAATCCATTGCTTTAAGTTTTTTATGCAGGTTTTCTAAATTCAAATCAAACAAAGGACAAAATCATACTTTTGATCCCAAAAAAATTGGCAATAAAGGCCGCAAAGCCTGCAGAGTAATATCAAATTCATTTAAGTCCAAATTATAATAAAATTTTTTTGTTTTTAAGGCCTTTAATGGCATTCTCCCTAAGAAAAATTAAAAAATTAAAATCCTCATAATTTATATTCCATCCATCTTACTATCTATTTTGTGTACTATCCTTTTTCACACAAAATTCTAAGGCTTCCCTTTGTTTTCATAAATGAAATATGAATCTATGTGCATGTGTTTGTGCACAATCTTGCATATTGGATAGATGCCTTGCCTTGGTCGGTGATTAGAGTAATAGAAATCTAAACATTTTCTCTCCTAACAAGTTTTCATTTGGACGATCTAAATATTTTTGGTTGAACTCGTTGATCTTTGTTCGATTAGTGCCTTTACATCTCTAATAAAATGCATTACACAAAGCCTAATGAGTTCAGACTTAACCTGGTATGTTTCCACTTAACTTGGAAAGGTAAAGCTTTGAAGCAACAATGAGATAGCTGTAAACTCTAGTAGTCATTTTTTTAGGTGTTTTTATGCTTACTATTTACAAGGATTTATTGGTTGTGAACCCCTTCTCTATTAACTTGGTGACCAATTTGAGAGGAATTGGTTAGTGTTTAGAATTGAAAGTTTGGGACTTCCATTTTAGTTTTCTTGAGTAGATCTCTAGTGGTTGTTAAATCAATATGGGCTTTCAAACTTGTAAATCGATCTATGATGGAAATTGACCCAAATGTGAATGAAGCATAGGCTTGTTTCTTCTCTTGACTTGCCCATTGAAATAGAACTATAAAAGGCAAAATGACATTTTAAAAAAAAGGAAAAAAGTAATGAGGGAAACCTAAACAAAAGCAAACAAAGGAAGCCTACCTTCAAAAACCAATTTGTAAAAGAGAAGAACCATGCCACTTGAATATCATAAAAATTACTTGTAGCTATTTGATGTAGGATTTCAACATAACATTGAAAAGTTGATGTTCTTGACAACTGCATCGTAGAAGTGTTCACTCTAACTACTTAGGTACATCCTTTTCAGGTGGCTCTTTTTGCAGAGGTCAATTAGCCTTTAATATCAACACTTTGATACAATTAATAGAGACCTAAGCAATTATTGAAATCTATCCTTAAGAGATGGCTTTTAAAGGAAGAACCATGTCATTTTAGTATCAAAATAGTTACTTGTGACTACTTGATAGAGACTTTCCAATTCCCTTCCATGATAAAATTATGTTCATTTTTTTAGACTAATAAAAGAAAACATTCTACAATAGATGAAATAAAGTTTTTTAGGGATCTGGAGGAATAATAGCATGATCCTTTGTGCTTCAAGTTGTTGGCCTCATGTTTAACATTTCTTATTTAGGTTCATATTCTAAGCTTGTGCAGTTACAAGTCTTATGAGTGTTATCATCTGCATGTAAGCTTAGATTTGAAGAAGTTGTTTGATGTTTGTAGTGCCTTTAATATTCTTCAAGGGTTTCCTTCAATGAGTAAAGATACTTAGATGGACCAGATCATTAGAATAAACTGTATTTTATTTTAAGTCAGATAGCACTATAGCACAAAAACCCCATAACAGACATAGATAAAAACCTAATTGTAATATTCAATCCATTTGAGTATTAGTTATATATTGCCTATATTTACTTTATGGCTCTATACATATGTACTTATTGTAACAACTCTAAGGTTTTGTGCTTAGTATATAATAAATAGTAAACACTCGACCTTATTGAGCCACCATTAACATATTCATTTGTTTATTTTCTTGTCTTGTTATCAAAGCCCTAATAGGCTAACAGCCATGGCCAGTTATCCTTTTACCCCTCTCGACTTTAACAACACTATTGAGACAGCAAGCTCTCTTGCTACCAACCTTAACAAAAATCTAGTTGCTACTAATACTCTCACTCAGATCTGTGCTGTAAAGTTGGATAGGACTAACTATGTGTTATGGAGAACACATATTTTACCTATTATCAAAAGCTACAAGTTGGAAAGATTCATCAATGGTACCAAACCATGTCCTTTGTCATTCATTGTTGAAAATAATATTGCTAAACTTAACCTTGCTTTTGAGGAATATAAGTTTGCTGACTAACTCTTGTTTGGTCAGCTCCTTAACACTATGTCTTTAGTGGTTTCTTCTTAAATGACAAGAGTTTTAACATTTGCTGGTCTTTGAAATGCCATCAAACAGCTTGTTGGTGTGCACACTATAACATCCTCAATTTTAAATCAAGATTAATTAAGCTTAAATAAACTAACTAAGTATATTAGTGAGGTGCATGGCTAGAAAGGCCTAACAGTCGTGTTTGGTCTCGATTCCAGTTCTAAACATAGGTCCGAAGGAGAATCGGGTCACCTGGGAATGAAAGCAGAAGAATTTTTAAAGAATGTGATTCTGTGCCACGCGCTGCGACTTGTGGATGGGCTGCTGTAGCGCATGCATGATAACACACCTGTAAAAGGCTTTCTGTGCCATGCGTCGCGGCGCATTGTGATAACATACCTGCAAGAGGCTCTCTGTGGGGTGCATGGTCATTTTTTTGCTGAAATAAGTCACAAATTTGATATATCAAAGAAGAAAAGAAATGAAGAAATGAAAGAGCAGTGAGAGAGCAGTGCTAGGGATTGGGAAAATTGAGTATTGGGAGTATTTTAGAGCTCTTAAATATCAAAGGTAAGCTTTCCTACTTAAATCTTCCTCTCTTCTTCTATTTTCTTAATGGTAGAGGTTAGGGTTTAATTGATAATGGTGATTTTTAGTCTATAAAAGCTATGGGTCCAAACCTATTAACTTAAATAGAGTTAATAGGAGTAGATTGAGCTAAGTAAACTTGGTATTTATAGTTTTATGATAATAGATAGTTGGAGGACATTAAATGTTTAAAAATTCTCATAAATATGGTGGTTGGGAACAATATAGTTTTATTAATGACCATTTAAGAGCTTAATGTTATTAATGAGGGTTAAAGAAAGCTAAGAAGCCTTATGGGTACTTTTATATGAGTCAAGAATAAATCTTGAGCATTAAGAAATGATGAAGTGCTAGTGAAAAATAGCTCAAATATGGATATTAATATTTTTTCATGGTAAATGCTTGTAGAGTAACTATCATTGACACTAT